TCCTGAAACAAATATTGAAAATAATAAATGTTTCTTAAATATCATATCAGCATATTAGAATGATTTCTGAAGGATCATGTAACACTGAAGACTGGAGTAATGATGCTGAAAATTCAGTCTTGTCATCAGAAAAATAAAATAAATTTTAAAAGTAATTAAAATAGAAAAGAGTTGTAATATTATTTCACAATATTACTGTTTTTATTGTATTTTTGATCAAATAAATGCAGCCTTGGTGAGCATAAGAGACTTTCAAAACATAAAAATAAACTTACCGATCCCAAACATTTGAATGGCAGTGTAAACATTTGAAACATTCTTAAATATATATTTTTTTATGTTCAGCAAGGAATAAGCAAAAACATGCTATGGTAAAGGATCTCTGATCTTCTGAGAGCTTAGTGAAGTTACAACTGTGCACATGGCAGTTATGTAACATTACTGCCTTAAATGTCTGCTGGACTTCCTTTAGCATAGCAGGCCTGTCATTTAAGTCTATGGGAATTTAAAATGACAGCTGACACTAATATATCTTGGCGCTACTGTCAGTTCTGTGGTCAGGAACTGAAATACAGTCTACAGCTCACAAATAAAGAAAACCATCTCATATTATGTAAAATAACTTTGCACCACATGGACTAATCCTTTCTACCTTTACAGGCTGTAAACTTACCACCTCCAAAATCATGTTGGTGTCAAACGTGGTTCTCCTGTGCCTACTGGCCACTGTGAGCACGGACAAGACCCTCAGCAGCCATGCCTCCATCCTGGCTGACAACAGCGCCAATTTGGCCTTCAACCTGTACCAAAACCTGGCAAAAGAGAAGGACATCGAGAACATCCTGATTTCTCCTGTGGTTGTGGCCTCCTCGCTGGGTTTGGTGGCTCTTGGAGGGAAATCCAACACTGCTTCTCAGGTCAAAACCGTCCTGAGCGCCACTACGGTGAAGGATGAGCAGCTACACTCTGGGCTGTCTGAGCTTCTCACCGAGGTCAGTAACTCAACAGCACGCAATGTCACCTGGAAGATCAGCAACCGTTTGTATGGGCCCAGCTCTGTGAGCTTCGTCGACGACTTTCTGAAGAGCAGCAGGAAGCATTATAATTACGAGCACTCCAAAATAAATTTCCGTGACAAGCGCAGTGCGGTGAAAGCAATCAATGAATGGGCATCGAAGTCCACCGACGGCAAGCTGCCCGAGGTGACCAAAGATGTGGAGAAGACAGATGGAGCCATGATCATCAATGCCATGTTTTATAAACGTAAGTCTTGATTATCTTTAGAATGAGAAGCAGTAAGATTCAGTAACTAATATGGTGCTCTGTTTTCTCTCCAGCACACTGGGATGAGCAGTTTCATCATAAGATGGTGGATAATCGTGGTTTCTTAGTGCATCGCTCCTACACCATCTCTGTACCCATGATGCATCGCACAGGTGAGGCCGAGGTTAAGCAGAAATGATCCTGAAACACAGAATGAGGTGTAACTTAGTGGTTAAAAGTAAATTGTGGGGAATTTTTCATAAAATTTTTCATTACAAATACATTTTTGGGGCAATACTAGTGTTTAGGTGTATATAATTTTTGTTTTCAAGTTTATATATTTATCATATTGTTTAATTTTTTCATAGTTATGTTGTTTAATATTTATCATATTTTTTATTTTAGTCAATTGTATTAATTAATTTAATTTAATTAAACAAAAATATTTTCGTTCACAAAATTATGCAAAGGTGCAAAATTAAACTACTGAAATATTTAATTATAATTTTGTAAATATTTTATATTTTTAAATATATAAAAATATAGATTAGTTTTTGTTTTAATTAAATATCCTTTAAATTTAGTCATGTTATATTCTTTCATTTTAAAGAATATATTTGTTTATCTTAAAAAATATGTTTAATTAACTTTTAGTTTTACTCAGACTAAAATTGCATGTAATTTCAGTCATCAAAAAATGACAGTATTATAAAAGTTACATATTTAAAAAATATATAAATATTTATAGATATATTTTTAGAACATATAAAATATGTATACACTTAATATATGAAATATTTAGTTATATTTAGTAAAAAAAAAAAAATTTGTTTTTGTCAGTGAATTTAAAATTAACACTGGCCAGTAAAACAATTTTCAAAACTCACCTACTATCGTTTATATCTTACCGCTGTTTGATTTGGAAAGAAATTTCAGCCTTCCTTCATTTGCCCTTACATGCTTACGTCATATATTCATGCTGTCTTTCAGGCATTTATGGCTTCTTTGACGACACAACCAACAACCTTTTACTTCTGGACATGCCACTGGCCCATAAGATGTCGTCTGTGGTGTTTATCATGCCGTACCACGTAGAATCCCTGGAGAGAGTGGAGAAACTATTGACACGCCAACAACTGAACACCTGGATCAGTAAAATGGAACAGAGGGCGGTTGCGGTGTCACTGCCAAAGGTCAGCGTGGAGGTCAGCCACAACCTGCAGGTACGGACAGTCTGCAGTTTCAGCAAGCTATTATATTATTATAAACTCGCCTGTGATTTCAATTGCTAATATAATGCCACATTTTCTTGCAGAAACATCTCGCTGAACTGGGTCTGACTGAAGCTGTGGACAAGGCCAAAGCTGATCTGTCCAACATCTCAGGGAAGAAAGATCTCTATCTGTCCAACGTGTTTCATGCCTCCGCCATGGAGTGGGACACTGAGGGAAATCCACCCGATACTAGCGTCTATGGTACCGACAAGCTTAAGAACCCCAAACTCTTCTACGCTGACCATCCCTTCATCTTCCTGGTGAAGGACAAGAAGACAAACTCCATCCTTTTCATGGGCAGGCTTGTCCGACCGAAGGGTGATAAAATGAGGGATGAATTGTAATTTGTTAATTTAAATGTGATTTTATGTGGTTAATGAGTGTGTATGTGTGTGTGTGTGTGTGTGTGTGTGTGTGCAGATTTATGGATGTGTGTAAATGGTACACCTGAGTTCATTCCATTAGATCTGGGGACAACCATGTGCTATCCGTTACGTTTACTTTGACAATTAACATTTAGGTGCCTCATAATGTTTTTTGTTATAAAAAAATGCAAGTGTACTTGACAAAGTATCGTAAATTCACATCTGAATCGGTTTCTGAGAAGTGCAGCATGCTTATATTAAGTATGATCTCCATGAAATTTGCTATAAATCCACACGAACAGCATTTTTGCTCAAGGGTTTATCTTTTTTCTTTGCGTTTCGATTGCTGGAGCGCTTAACTCTCTATGCCGAGAGTTTGATTTCTGAAAAAGTCTGTGGATTTTGTTACACAAAGTGCCTGCGAGTTCACCACGCCATGCTGAAACGTTCCTCTCAGAAGTGCACACTTGTGTCTGCACTAAATACTGTGTCTGCACTAGACAGCATGTGATATGAGCTCACGTCTGTACCATTTTTAAGCTTGTATTCACATTGTCATTGCACCAAAACACGGTTGTCTAAAAATGTTGGTTTGTTCCTGTTTTTTTCAATAAAATCAGCATCACTGAGAATGTGTGTGGGTTTTTATTTATGCCGTGTTTCTTTTAAGGTCAAAGTAAAGTTTGTGGTTCTGTTTGGAACTGCATAGCCTACTCTACCATACTACAGTACACTTATTATTTCTGATGTATAAAGTATGTATAATGTACACAGAATGCAGATTTTACTACTTTTACCAATGGCATTTGCCAAAGTGTTCAACAGACCTTAGTTAGGTTAGAAGCCACTGAATTTAATGTGGATGTAAAGGATCAGATTTTACAATGGCACACACTGTATAAAGTATTTATTTTTTATTTTTTTACAGCTCACAACTTTGAAACTCTTTTTGGAGTTTTGTCTACTGATTTTTTTCTCTTCTTTTCTCAGAAAGAGGTTTCGTCAGCTGAACAATCTATATGTTGTTAAAAACAACGGTACAGGTGCATCTCAGTAAATTAGAATGTCGTGGAAAAGTTCATTTATTTCTTGAACGCACTGTACTTCAGTCTCTCACAGCCTCGTTTTCATTCCTGACAAAATTTGGCGCTACCCTGACTGGTGTATTCCAGAATTTTTTTTCAAGATCTTCCAAAAGAAAATCTTTATTTTTTTATATGAATAATGCCACTTTGAGTTTTTGGCATACAAAACTCTAGACTTTTGGGCTGCACAAAGCTCTGGCGACATCTAGCGTGATTCGCTGAAACGACATCAATGTTCACTGATAACGGCATGTGAACAAAGAACATAGAAATACAGTGAAGCAGCAACAATCACTATGATCTGGATTTATCTGATTAGAAAGAGAATCGGTTCCGCCGTACACAGAAAACATAAAGTTATTTATCGTTCCTTCATCAAGTGTTTGACGAGACTTTCTATTCAAAAGAAACAGGTTTGTCTGTACTCTCATGTGAACTCTGTCATCTGATTGGATGAGAATGTGTACAACTGCACACCAGTATTTCACCTTCAACCCCCCCCCCCCAAAATAAAAAAGCTGCACTGTGGGTAAAAGCTGAAATAAAAAAATACAGTAATTGTGTAATATTCAAGGAAAGCAGCTAAATAATCCTATTATGATATAAATTTTCATGGAAAACAGTTAAAATTTCCCATGTGATATTGGCCATATATTTCTACTAAATTATTTGAACAAAAAATAATGCAAAATAAAATTGAATGGCCAATATGTATTTTCTCAGTTTACCTATGGTAAACTGGTAATTTTGGATATTGTATGATAGGTCAATAGTTCATGTACATTGGAAACGTCATTATACTTTGACTTTTCATGAACTATATTGTTCAATATATATTTATACACATTTATATAATAGTACACTGTCCTTTCAAAATGCACCAGACAAGAGCAACGATTACTTCATTAAATTGAGTTACAGAAGCTACTGTTTGCCGTGCACTGTTATCGCACGTAGGCCCGTTCAGATTGGATGGAGCACTGAATCCGTTACCGTACAGGCAACTCCTCCCTCCGACTGTCCAACCTATCTGATCTCTCTCTCATCATGGCTCCAGCGGCGGACAGGCCGGGCTACTGGGGAACACCGACCTCAACTCTCGACTGGTGCGAGGAGAATTATGTGGTCTCGTATTACATCGCAGAATTCTGTAAGTACGTTTGAACGGTGGCCTTATGCTCGGGACACGCGGTTCATGGTCGTGTAGAACGGTAAACACGGATGTTAAAACGGGAGAGAGGAGTATCGTCGAATCCTACTATGAGAAGACATGATACTTAATATTCATGAGGCAATCCTTCGCTATTGGACGGTTGCGATGCATCGTCAGCATAGCCTAATTAATATTGATAAGCCAGTTCTTTTCCATTGGAAGGTTTCGAAGGAACGTCAAAATGACGTAGTTAATATTAAAAAGCCAAGCCTGGTTCATAGCAAAGATACGAAGCAACGTCAGCGTAACCTAATTAAAATGCATAAGCATTTGTCGTAGTAGGATTCGTAACTTGGCAGCCGAGGCCAGCGACCCTACGTCCGCGTTGAACTATTGTATCATAAGGCTCAATAGCAAATAAGAAAAATCACACAAAAGAGAATTAATGAAACCCAGTGTGTGTGACAATATTTGGGGAGGAGCTCGTGCCGACGATACTGATTTTCAGTGAAACCAAAGAGTGTGAAGAGAAAACATGCTTTATTTCCCATCACGTTGATGTTTTCTTGTGTTAAGCCTTCTTTTATTTGCTTTAATTATAAACTGACTATGAGGATATGGTCTGAAATGTGAGCAGAGATTTAAAGCTGCTAGAATGAAGCTCAGTCAGTTCAATGTGGTTATAAAGAACTAGCGTAACCAGCAACATAACTTGTACTGTAAATATGCATGCCAGGTTTATTAGTGAAGTTTTATACTTGATAATACTACTCATACTAACTATAATACTACAGTAATTGCATGGAGTTTAATTGGTCCCTGCTGACAGAAAAACAGGCAAAGATGGTTTGCTGGTTTTAGCTGGTAGGCTACAGTTGGTCTGATCAACTTAGGATAAAAAAAGGATAAAAAGCTACATTCTAAGTAAAAACGGAAAAATGCAACAATTGTCCAAGATTCAAGGAAAAACAGCTGAATAATTCAATTACAACCCCAATATTCAAGGATAAACAGCTATATCCCATATCCCAAATATGAATTACAAATAGTGATATGAACAAAATATTTTAACAAATATATTTCTAACAAAAATAATGAAAAATATTTTTTTCATTGCCAATATGAAATATTTAGCAGCATTTTTCCATTTCCAGTTGTTTGTCTCTTTCAGACATACTCATTAACTTGGCAACACTTTAAAAATGTTCATTACCATGAATATAATCAGAATGAGAAATTATATAATGAATGAAAGAAAAGAAAACAACATTAAACACCAAGATGGTTTGCTGATCTAGTTGGTCCTCCCGCCTGATCAGCCAAAAAGTTCCCAAAGCCATTGTACTGTATTTAAATTTAAGTTAAAGTACTATTTGTTACCATCAGTATACTTTTGTAAGAATAATATAATAATTTATATATTTACATATAGAATGTTTGTATAAAACTAATAAAGTTTTTACATAATTACTGTTAAATTACATTACTTTCACAAAAGTACAGACCTTTACCTGTGAGAAGTACTACTTAGAAGTACGACTTAGATGCTATTTATATACCATATATGAAAATATGGAAGGACACAGTGTACGTAGCCATTACATTTCCATGTTGTTTGCTGAAGTATGTTTCTGATAAGTTGGTCAAAGGGCACAGAGTTACAGTTAACACAATCAAACATTAATAACGATAGAGCTTGAATTCCCTCTGTAATTTCCTATGAGGATTTAGGATATATGGTTTTTGATTTAAGAATGTAATAATCTGATTGTTTGAGTTTTATTTGACAACATAAATGACACACAGTCATATTTCAAACATGAGTTTAATCGCTGCTAGAACCAACAGGAATTTCAGTGCCATCGAGATCAGAGGGGCCTTTGGTGTCCAGCGGGAACCTGTTGCCTTGTGAAGGAATGTGCCAAGTTCAGTATGACGAGCCGTATATCCAAACAGTGAAACAATAGGCCTGTACACACCATGTTAGGTCTTTCTAACATAGGGTTAGTTTTCTTGGACTCTCTGACGGCTGCTGGTGGTGCTAAGAGGCAAGTTTGGATGAAGTTCACTCATCTATTGTTGATATGATATCCATTCAAGTGGAAGTTCAGTGCAGTTTTTACTATTATCATTCACAGAATAACTCAAATACGACTTAAAGTTAAAGTTCACCCAAAAAGTTGCTGAAAATGCACGCACCCTCAGGCCATCCAAGATGTAGATGAATTTGTTTCTTCATATTTGGAGAAATCTAGCATTACATCATTTGCTCACCAGTGGATCCTCTGCAGTGAATGGGTGCAAACTGATAAAAACATAACAATAATTCACAAGTAATCCACATGTCTATCCACAGTCTATCAATGAATTTCTTAAAGCTGTGTGTTTGTAAGAAACAAATGCATCATTAAGGTGTTATAACTTTAAACCGTCGCTCTTGGCAATAATACAAGTCCATAATCCATAATTCAGTGAAAAAGCCCTATTGTCCTCTCACATCAAAATCCACCAACATATTTGTTTAGAACTATTTTCTCTTGTAACGGTGCTTGATCTGTGCACATTTCTCTCCTGATGAAAACTAGACGACTTTTTCATTGGAGAAAGCATTATGGATAGAGGACTCATACTTTACCCGGAAGCAACAGTTTGAAGTTAAAAACATCTTAATGATGAATGTGTTTATTACAACCACGCAGCTTTTGACCTCACAAGACGTTAATTGATGGACTGGAGTGGTGTGGATTACTTGTGGATTATTGTGATGTTTTTATCAGTTGTTTGGACTCTCATTCTGACGGCACCCATTTACTGCTGAGGATCCATTGGTGAGCAAGTGATGTAATGCTACATTTCTCCAAATGTGCTTCGATGAAGAAACAATCTCATCTACATCTTGGATTGGTGAGTTCATTTTCATTTAATCTTTGGGTGAACTATTCCCTTAATATTTAAATTCATTAAAATGAAAACATTGTTTCTTTGCTTTCTTCAGGGAATACTGTCAGTAACCTGATAATGATCCTACCTCCCATTTATGGAGCCATTCAGACGTGTAAAGATGGTTTGGAAGTACGCTATGTGTGGTCCTTTTTAGGAATTGCTGGTACGTAGCTTTCACATGATTTTATATAATCACAAACCTCATTTTTTTATGGAGTGACCTGTCCCCCAGTTATTCAAGACTGTATTTCCTAAACAAATGGAGATTAAATGTACTGTTTTTTTATATCGTCTCTCTTTTCGGTCCAGCCGTAGGCATTGGTTCATGGAGCTTCCACATGACACTACAGTATGAAATGCAGGTAAGCTTGACTTTTCTTCAGCCTTTCAAAGTGTGCATCTTGTTCCCAAGCACATGAAAAGCTTATTTTCACTTTCATTCTCATAGCCACAAAGCTGCTTCTCTAACAGTACATCCCCAAAGCAATAGCAGTAATTCACAAGTGACACAAATGCTGTCAGTCTCTGGATTGTCTTTTGCTTTTAGTTACTGGATGAGCTGCCAATGATCTACAGCTGCTGCGTCTTTGTCTACTGCCTGTAAGTTGACATTTCTTACACCTGCAAAGTCACACTGTCTGCCTTCAACTTTGACCTCTGAACACTCATCATAAGCTTAATGAGGATCAGACACGGTATTTGATGACAGAAAATAATCAATTTTTATGTCTTTTGCCATTCAAAAGTTTGGGGTCTCTGGGGTCTTTTATGCTTACCAAGGCTGCATTTATTTGATTATAAATTCAGTAAATTTTGACATATGTTTAGTTACAATTATTAGTTTATTTGATACAGATGTTTTGTTCGTAACTTATAAATGTCTTTACTGTCACTTTTGATCAATTCAATGCATCCTTGTTGAATAAAAATATTATTTTTCTTTAAAAAAATAAAAATAAAAATGACTGACCCCAAGCTTTTGAATGGTAACGCATGATTGTAAGTCATTTACTCTGGATGCTTTTTCCTCTGACCTTTTTTTATTATTTGTGACTGATCTGAATGCTTATCTCACATATTACAGATATGAATGCTTCATGCAAGAGCGTGCTGTTAACTATTTGTCAATTACACTTTTGCTGACCTTCAGTATTATTGTTAGCGTGGTAAGTTTTTTCTTTGCTGTTCAAAATTTTCAAAAAAAATATACAGTGGGACACAAATTTCTACTATATTTTATTTTTCTAATTTAGTACAAACCTTTTCATTTCAAATAAAATTATCACCATAATTTGAATTGAAATAAACGAAACGATTTAAAAAATAAAATATAAATATTTCTTAATATGGCGTCCATATGATTCATATTATCCAGCATGATTTAAGAATGCTATTTATTCTTTATTCGGATCCCCATTATATTCCATAAAGTGGCAACGACACTTTGCATAGAAATGTTCAGAATAAAAATAACAATGGGAAAATAGTGACCTAGAAATACTGCAGAATCTTAATAAATATTTCCTCTTTTTCATATTAAACTTTCATTGTTTTTAATTTTTTTAAAACCCTAAACATTGCTTATTTACTTGTTTTAAATGAATAAAATCCCAGATTTCCAATGCAGTCTGTTTATGTACTGTATATATTATTGATATTTTTGTCTCCATGCTCAGGAAGTGCATTTCATTTGTCTTTTGTAGGTTTACCTGATATGGAAGGAGCCTGTGTTTCATCAGGTGAGGCCTGACTGAACATTAAGAACATTTAATGCTGCATTAAGGTTTTTCCTACGTTGTCAGGTGTCTTTGAGAGGATGACAATGTTTTGTCAAAACAACTTCGGCAGTCAGTATTTGTTGTCTGTTTGTATTGTTTAAGGGCATGACAGTAGGGTGTGTCTTTATTCATACTCAGGGTGTTGAATTGTACATGAGCGTCTGTACACACTGCTGTGATCTCTTTGTTTAATACACTGTCATGTAAAGCTCAGTGAAAAAAAAATCACCATTCAAACAGTCATATTGTTTATATAGCAGATGGTGCTAAATACACAGGTTAACAGTTTTATCATTTCCCCCAGGTCATGTACGCCGTACTTGTGGCTTTCTTGGTGATTCGCTCTGTTTTCATAGTCACATGGTGAGTGAATGAATCCTTATTACTTCCAAATCTGTATTCAAGCACATTTTAATTTCTATAATGTGACATATTTCCCAGTGAAACCGTTAATTCAGCAAGAAAAAAGCGGTGCTACTTCATTTTATCCTTTGGGAATAGACTGCAACAGTAGCCTTGGTTGCAGAAGTATTTTTCCATAGGAATTTAGAAAAAGTCTTTGTTAAAGAGTTCATGAGCTATGAACCAAACCAACCAGCTACGAGGTGAATCACAAATAAAAAAATTGGATAAAAAAGTACAAGACTGTGAACTGAACGGCTTTAATGAAAGAAAGAAATACAATCCCATTAAACATTGCGAAAGATTGGTGGAGACTTGTGTGCAGAATTATGTGTAATATAGTTTTTCTCCAGGAAATTTGCTGTTAAACACAATTATTTAAAAAATCATTTGAAATAACATGGGCTGATGGCTTCAACAAATACAAATACCATTGATTAACAAGCTCGTATCTTACAGCAAGTCTGTCTATCGTATAAAATCAATTCCCCTATGGAGAAAATGAATGGGATTTTTACGTCCAGAACCCAACTGTTGCACTGTATTGACTGTATTGAGAAAAGTAAGTGTTCTGTACCAGAATGTAGCCAGATCTGAATACGAGTTTGCTAAAAAAAAATAAGTCTTGCCTGTGCTTTGCAGGGTGTATCCGTGGCTCAGAGCCCTCGGCTTTACATCATTAAGTGTCTTCCTGTTGGGATTCATATTATGGAACATCGATAATATCTTTTGTGACTCTCTAAGGTAGATTCACATTTACATTACATTACATTTATGCATTTAGCAGCATTTACATTTTAGTCAACAAAAGTAACATTTTAGTTTACAAGTAAGTGCAAAATTAAATTAAATATTAAATAAAATTTTCAAATATTTATATATTAATTTTCTACATATTAAAAAAAAAAAATCAACATTTAGTTGTTAAATGTTAACATATTTTTAAATATTTAAAATATGCATGAATGAATAAATA